GCTCTCCCTCTCTGGATCTAAAGTCTCCAGCTGCTCCATGGCTCCACATCATCATCTCTGGCTCCATTTCAGGCATCACTGCTTCTCTGGGTAGGGTCCCGCTCTCTGCTCTTCTCCCTTGATGGTCCTAGGGACCTCCGCTCATAGACTTAAAAGTTAATCACTCCCCTCCTTGCTTTAAAATATCTACCTTTACATTTCTGACCCTCACAATCAGCCCTGATAACAATTACTCACTATTGTATCACAAGAGACCTGTCTGCATTTCATTGCATCAGCCCCGCCTAGTCAGATTGAACACTACTCACTGGAGATTCTGCCTTCCTCCAGGCCCTCTGGATCTAGGTTCCCTCTTGAAAGTGTTACCACTGGTTCTTAATCACATGCTACCTCTTGAAATGGATGAACATCGGCCATTTCTTTTTGGTACAGTCAGTGACTGTGTATTCCTTCCATCTTCTTTTCAAGCAGTCTCTGCATCGTTCATTATTTAGTCCATAGAATCCTTCAATACTGCAAGAGGCTTGAATTTTTCAGTTCTTTCAGCCTGATAAAACGCTGAGCATATTCTTCCCTTCTTGTTTTCTGTTTCATTGTAATACATGACTGCCTTCTTGAGCTGCTCTTTGAAATTTTCTGTTCATCTCTTTTATCTCATTTCTTTTTATTTGCTTTAGCTTTTCTACGCGCTAGAGCAAGTTTCAGAGTCTCTTCTGACATCCCTTCAGGTCTTTTCTTTATTTCCTGTCCTTTTAATAACCTTATGCATTCTTCATGTATGATGTTTTTGAGATGGTCTCTATCTATATTCAGGTGGAACAGATACCAGGTCTTATTTAGGCTCTAACAGACTTGTTTTAATTTTCTTCAGCTACATCCTGAACTTGCATAGAGCAATCTGTTTCATAGTTGGACTCTGGCCTTGTTTTAACTAATGATATTGAACTTCTACATTGTCTCTTTCCACCAATGTAGCTGATTTGATTCTTGTATATTCCATCTAGTGAGGTCGCCAAGTATAGTCGCCTAGTATGTTGCTGAAAAAAGATATTGGCAATGAATAAGTTGTTTGTTCCTGCAACATCCTGTCATGCAATTTCCAGCACTGTTTCAGATCAGCAAGGTCATAATTTCCAACTACTAGTCCTTCCTTTTTTCTACTTTTCACAACCCAAACACCAGTAATTATCAATGCCCTTTGACTGCGTGTTTTATCAGTTCCAGGCTGAAGAAACTGGTAGAATTCTTCTGGCTTTCGTGGTTGGTGAGTAAATTTGAACAACAGTGGTATTAACTGGTCTTCCTTGAAGGCATATCTATATGATCCCATCACAGACAGCATTATACTTTAAGAAAGATCTTGAAATGTTCTTGTTGATAATGAATGTGACATGATTCCTCTTCAATATGTGATTTGTGGCAGAGTAAATCATGATTGTCTGATTTAAAATGGGCAATACTAGTTACTAATGCCTACTGATCTTCATGTGCGTCATTTCATTTTTGACAACTCCGAATTTTCCTAAATTAACAATTCATATATTGCATATTTCGATTATTAATGCATGTTTACAACGGTTTCTCCTTATTTTGAGTTGTGCCCAATTAACAAATGAAGATCTCAAAAGCTTTACTCCATTTATGTCATTATGGTCAACTTTATTTCTTTTGAAATATAAAAGGAAATCAAGCAAGAAGAAATAGGAAAGATAGATAATATGACTCAAAATTATTGGTAGACCAAGTCATAGAAGTTGAATTGACAAGGACCTTCCCCAAGAAATACAGAGGGAGAAAAAAAAAAACCCTAGAGAGAGCTGAGAATTTGGACTTCTAGGTCCCTAACTGAGAAAATAAGCATTTGTTAAAAAACCCTCACTTGTATTTTTGTTACAGCATATCTAGATAACTAAGAGAATGAGCATCCTGCAAAATGGATTTTAGAAACAATGAATGAAAGGAGTCCTGGTGTGGCGTTACAGAATTACAGCAGTACTAGACTGCTAAACGCAAGGTTGGTGGTTCAAACACACCAACCGCTCTTTGGAAAACCTATCCAAGGTTGCTATAAATCGGAACCGACTCGACAGCATGTATATACACACACAAAACACACACGTGACACTGTATCATTAGCACTGGACTGCTAACCGTAACACTGGTGGTTCAAACCCACCAGCTGTTCCTTGGAAACTCTATTCAGGGTTGCTATGAGTTAGAACTGGACGACACATAACAATGACAAAACATAAGAAAAGCAAACTGAATTTAAAATAATCAGATATTCGGGGTGCTGCACCGTTGGTTAAGAAACATAAAGCACTCAACCAACACATAAAACCAACATAATAGGTATGTTGTTGAGTGCATTGAAATAACTTCTGACTCACAATGTATAGGGTTTCCAAAGAGCTGCTGGTGGGTTTGAATCACTAACCTTGTAGTTATCTGGTTTGATGTTGTTAAGTGCCTTCGAGTCAGGTTCAAGACATAGTGACCCTGTATAGGGTTTCTGAGGAGTGGCTGGTGGATTTGAACCACTGACACTGCCTACAGCAGTCCAGTTCTTCTTCTACAGTGCCACACCAGAACCCCATCTTGTTGTTTTTAAGGGCCGACGAGTCAGTTCCAACTCAGCGACCTATATAGGGTTTCTGAGGAGTGGCTGGTGAATTTGAACTGCCAAGAGGTTCAAACAGACTTTGAGGTCCAATGCTTTATCCTACAGCGTCACATCCAGGGACTCCAAAACCTGAATTGTTTTTGTTGTTGTGTGCCATAGAGTCGGTTCCAACCCATAGCAACCCTGCATAGGGTTTCTGAGGAGCAGCTAGTGAGCTTGAACCACCAACCTTACCGTTCAAATCAACTTTGCAGTCCAGCACATCAACCCACAGCATGACAAAGAATACCAAAACATGTGTAAATCAACAGCAAGACCAGATTCAAGAAAACACCTGTAGACAGGAAATCTTTAGTCTAATATAGCATGCCTGGTCCCTAGCTAGGAACTGGCTGATCTTACTTTTAAGTTAAATGTTCCAGGGAGCTACAAAGACAGAGACCTCACCTAGACCCAGTTCCAGTAGAGCCTTCCTTGCACAGAACAACGTTAAGACTCCGGAACTTAAGCACAACCCGAACCATTTCATAAGATTAGTCTATTCATTAGACTGCCCGACCCAGAATGATTCGGCAAACAGATCCCCTTATTTGGGCAGAGAAGGGAAATTTCTCCCCAAACCACTACAAATTTTCAGATCTTTAGATCCTACTTCCTCCTTGTCTGCGCAAACAATAAATCCACTTTCACTAACAAGCTGTGTAGATAGGATAAAAAGACTGGACAAGGATGCGAATACATTTGGTTACTGATACTTGAAATAAAGCTCAAATACGTAACCACAAAGAAATACAAATCAGACGCATGTACATGGGTGGGTCTTTACCCAGTTCGATACCTAAAACTATTACTTATTTTAAATTCCGAGGACTTTGCCTCACTCTACCCGATTGGGCGACCATACCTTGGAGCGCGAGCCGGAGTCGCTCCTTCCTACTGTGAGCCGCTCGCCGGGATTCCTCTTGGGCCTTGCGGTACAGGTATTCGCGGCGCAAGCGAGCCTCGCGGCGTAGCTGAAACCAAACGAGTCGGGTGAGCCCCCTCACCTTCCCCACGTACTCGAACTCTGGGGCCTACCCACCCTAAGTCCCAGGGTTGACAACACCAACCCTCCCGGAGCCATTTAGCCATCAAAAAAGCCTCCTACCATCTTGAGCGCTTCTCCCACGTGGGTTTAGGAAACTCTACAGTTGCTTCCGGTGCAAAGCGGTACCTGCTTCCGCCCTCAACCAAGAAGGTTGTTAGTAGCTTCACTAAAGTGTGTTACCCACGAGAATGCCCAATGTTAACATGGCGAGCGGTTGGGGAAGTGGGGGAGGGGGGCCTTCAGGGTGATTGGCCAGTCCGTCAGCGCGAGCTCAGGGAGCAGCCAATAAGCTAAATTGTCACATGGCTTGAGCGTGGCATTAGTAAAGTGTGGGTGGGCGGCCTTACCACAGCCGTTTCCGGAACTGCTCGAAATTACCAAGGCAGGCACCGACTGATTGACTGACTAGCCCAATTCAGGATCTGATTGGAAAGACCTGCGATTCCTCTGAGAGTGTTTGCCCTTCCAGAGCAGCCACAACAGAGCCTAACCTCTGAGGGTCTGTTTCGCGGTTTGGGCGAGCTGGAAAGAGGCAGGCTCCAGACCTGGGCCTCAGCGCACTTCGAATCTTGCGTAGATATGACAGAACCAGACCCGCGGGCCGAATTAGACTCGCTGCTATTGCAGTTGCTACAAGATTTGGAGGAGTTAGAGGCGAAACGGATGTCTCTAAACGCCCGAGTGGAGGAGGTGGGGGTCTGCTGCGGGCAGGCGGGCGATTGGACCACACGGAGGTAAGCTGAGGCTCACCACTCTCCTCTCTCTTCGCAGGGCTGGTTCTCGCTCTCCAAGGCCCGTTACGCCATGGGTGCTAAGTCGGTAGGGCCTTTGCAGTATGCCTCTCATATGGTACCCCATTGCCGCATCAACACCAGGTGAGGAGCTACGGTTGCAGAGGCCAGGCTTGAGCTGGAGAAGATGAGGAGGGAGGGAACCAGCTCGGGGCCGCCGAAAGTCAATGCTCTTTTATTCTTCAGCGAGACCCAGGACGGATTCCAGAAGTTGTGGATGGTGAGAGCCATCGCCCAGACCCCAGAAGAGGTGGGACCCCAAGAGCCAGGTGAGTGCCCACTCCTTCCACTTAAGACTCCTTCTCAGGTTTGATACAAAATGCACAGAATAATTAAGGAGATGCTTTTTCAGTCTGTTGTGAAAGAGAGAGTGTCTCAAGTCACAAGATCAAAATGTCTCAGTGTGGTGTTGTGCAGTGGAATCGGTTCCTACTCCTAGTAACCCTGTATAAAGTTTCTGAGGCTGTAAATCTTTACGGGAGCAAAATGCTTCATCTTTCTCTTGCTTTTGCCTTGAACTATGATAGGGAAGAAAGACAATTGCAATTCTCCATGTTTCACTCAACTGAACAGGAATCTCTGTCTAGCGTGTTTCAAGGGGATACGCTTCTAATCTCAGGTTAATCATTGGACAATAAACGAATTTGGAGAGTCTATGCTTGACCTTTCAGCAAGTTCAGGCGAAAAGGGGACAACGATTTTTGGCATTGTAGGTAAACAGGACTCCTGGTGTGGTGCTATAGAATAAGCTGCTGCTGTTGCTAAGTGCCATGGAATCGATTCTGATTCATAACGACCCTGTATAGGGGTTCCAATGAGCATCTGGTGGGTTTGAACTGCCAACCTTGTGCTTCAAACCCATCCTGCGGTCCAGTGCTTACTCTTCAGCACCACACCAGCACTGCAAACCACAAGGTCTGTAGTTCAGACCTACCATTTGCTCCTCGGAAGCCCTACACAGCAGGGTTTGTTGTTGTTAAGCGCGGTCAAGTTGGTTCCGACCCATAGCGACTCGAACAGGGCTTCCAAGGCTGTAAATCTTTACGGGAGCAGAAAGCCTCACCTTTCTCCATGGAGCAGCCGGTAGTTTCGAACTTCTGACCTTGCAGTTCACAGCCCGATTCATAACCACTATGCTACCAGAGCTCCCTACACAATTTTTTTTTGCCACAATTTAAAACATTATCCTCGGGCCATACAAATTTATCAACTTAAATATTAACCTGCTATATTTGGTCAGGCATTTAGTTGTTGTTGTTATTGTTTGGAACCATCCAATTGGTTACCAACTTATAGCAACCCTATGTACAATAGAATGAAACACTGCCTGGTCCTGAGCCAACCTCACAATTTTTGCCCATTGCTGCTGCCACTGTGCCAATCCATCTCATTGGGGTCGTCGTCTTTTTCTCTGACCCTCCACTTTACCAAACATGTGATATCTTTCTCTAGGGACTAGTTCCTCCTAGTATGTCCAAAATATAAGAGATAAAGTCTAGCCATCCTGACTTCCAAGAAACGTTCTGGCTGTACTTCTTCCAATACATATTGGCTTGTTCTTTTGGAAGTCCTTGTTACTTTTAATATTCTCCTTCAACACCATAATTCAAATGCATCAATTCTTCTACAGTCTTTCTTAATCACTGTCCAAATTTCACATGCATATGAGGTTATTGAAAATACCATGGCTTAGATCAGATGCACCTTAGTCCTCAAACTGACATCTTTGCTCTTCAACGCTTTAAAAAGGTCTTGTGCAGCAGATTTGTCTAATGCAAATGTATTTAACGTTTGATTTTTTTTCCCTTTATTTTTATTTTTTTATTTTTTTAATGTAATGTTTTTATTGTGGATTGAGTGAAAGTTTACAGGGCACATCATCAGTTTCACATTCAACAATTCATATAACTTGTTTCATTACATT